CATTTTCCTTTTGGTTTATAACTTTAAAGAATTTGGAATTGGAATGCTTGAGAAGTTTAACTTTAATTGGAATGCTTGGAATTGTAACTTTAATTTTCTTAGGTTGTGAATGCTTGAGAAGTTGAGGAAATTGTGAATCTATATATGTTTGAGAAATTGAGGTTGTGTATTTATTTATTTAGGTTGTGAATTTATATTTTTGTGAATGCTTAAGAACTTGTGATTTTAAACCGCTAATTAGCGGTAACCGACCGCATTTTGGGGTTTACCGCATTGCGGTAAACCGCAAAATGCGGTCGGTTTACGGTTTCAAAAATCACCAAACCGCAAATAGTCAGTCAGTTTGCGGTTTGAGTAAAAATTCTCGGTTACCAAACCGCAACCACCCCTAGTTAAATTGGCTAAAAAAATAATTCAGAGTGGACATTTCAACAAGCGCTATAGTTCAACGGAGGTTTTCGGTAGTTTACCTAAAAACAAAGTAACATAAAGAAAAGAAACAGGCAAAATTGTAAATGTAACTTCTTTTTTCTTTTTTAACGAAACAAACTCATTAAATTTTTGGGTTGTAGTGTGCTTAGCCATTGGCGGTGGAGGATCACCAGAATCAGAAGAAAAGTCAAACACAAATGAGAAGAAAATTAGCATCAGAAAAAAAAAAGAGAGGAAATTAAAAAAAAAATGTCTGAGCCCGGGTTCGAACCGGGGACCTCTAGTGTGTGAGACTAGCGTGATAACCGACTACACCACCCAGACAACTTTGATATTTAAACTAGTAAATTTAATATAGTTATCAAACCAAGTGAGTCCAATCTTAGTACTATGCTAAGTCAAGTCTCCCAGCCTAACCTCCTCGGAGTTCGAAGAGGCCAAAATCTTATCACTTTGTAATTGGACTGAGAAAAGTAAGTCCATGCCAAGCTCCACCGACCGACACCCCAAAAAGAGAGACCCAAAGTCTGCAATTGCGGTGCGGCTGGAATTCACCTCAGATCTAAGATGAAGGAATTTGGGGATATTGGTTATCTTTATTATATTATGCTAATAATAAAGAAATAAATAAACAAATATATTGGTAGATGCAAACTTATTTTATTCATTTAAAACCCCAGTATTCTCATGGTACAACTGATAGTACAATGATTGCTGGTCTAGAAGAATGACATCAACTAAGTCATCATTCTTATTACATATATTATATATATATATATATATATAACTACTTCTTCATGATGAAGAGGATTCAGAAGAAAGTGACTGATATTGGAAAATGATTTAACATTGAGGGACGGGAACACCACAGTTGGAAGCAAGTTTTCTGGCGTTGGGGCTGTTGACATATTGTCTGAGGCTTGGGTTCTTGAGATATCCACAAAGGCAAGGCCTCTGCTCCCTCAGTTTCTGGCAGCATGTGGTTGAAGGACGTGCCCCTGAATTTATTGGGCCCAAGCATGGGCTCAACTGCACTGGGCTGCATGTCACTGCCTCTGCCATCCTTGCCTCTTCACTTAGCATCACTGCCACCATCACCACCACACACAGTGCCACACCTGAATATGACAACTTCATCATCTTAATTCAAAGTGCACTAGTTAATAATTTTAGAGAGAGAGAGAGAGAGAGAGAGAGAGAGATTAGAGAGAGGGAGTATGGTGCATTTGGGAAGGGCTCCTCCTGCACAATTTATAGAAGGAAGTAGCCAATGCTGTGGTGGAAAGGCGAAGACTGAGTGGCTGATTTTCATAAGTCTTCTTCAACACACTCGCTCACGTGGGAGGATCACATTCACACCGGAATTTAGATTTTTACAAAATTTGGCATTAGTTGAATTTTGGTGACTGAAGTTGGGTGTAATCCACGTAGAAGAGTAGTTGTGATTCAAGTTTTTTGACTATTATGTCATGTAGAATTACATTCTTTTTTTTAATGTGCTGAGTTATAATTGTGTATTTGCTATTTTTTGTTTTAATTTCTTGTTCCTATTACGTCCCTGAAGTCTAAAATGAGCAATTTATTATTAATTACATGTCTATTTATTGAATGAGTGCTGCTAAACGAATCTTAAAATTAACCGAGTACACCCTGATATCAAACTATTCATTGAATTACTAATTTATCATAATATAAAATGACCAAAAATGATATATTGAATTGTGAAACAAATGTAATTTTAATAAGTACACACTACTCACCATATTTAATCCTAATTAATATAATCGCCCTAGTTTTACCGTCTTTAACCTAACCCAGGTCTTTCACTGGACAACAATACCGTCCACCACATCATTGCCGTAGCATGGAGGAAATGCAACTTCACTAAATATGATATTTGGTGACATCAACAATTCTAGCTCAGATATTCATCTGACGACATCAACAAAGCTCTTGCATGCTCAAATCAAAGATCAATGAATTTGGGGATATTGGCGATTTTTACAAGTTTAATTTACAATTAACTTATTACATTATGCTAACCATAAATAAATTGGTAATGCAAATTTCAATTCATTTAAAACCACAAATTATATATGTTTTTTTTTAAAGAAAAAAATTATTTATTGAAAGAAACATTCAAGGGCAGTCCTACCCTAAGGGCAAGGTAGGCAGCCGCCTACTCCAATTTTGGCCAAACCAAAAATTACCCAATCACTACTCCAATTTTGGCCAAACCAAAAATTACCCAAT